TTTTTATTCCAGTAGAAATTGTTTGATTCCCCAAGCAAGTGACAGTTCCTAATTTCACATGGACTACAACTAAGTTCGAAGGTGTGAGATGGCAATGGAACTTTTTTGGGGTATGAACAACCAAAATACTGTTGCCATGTCTTCACTGTTAATATGCCTGGGTCTGGGACCATATTGTCCCACATACCACACCCCCCCAAAAAAGACACGTACCTTATTTTGGGGAAGGCAGAATGAAGAAAAAAACATTCTTCCAGAGTTATGACCACAGACACAGGGAAAGCTGCCTCACCTACCCTTTCCTGTTTGGGCAAAAGCTACAGTTTTAACCCTTTCACAGCTGGATTGTCAGTGGCTCTTGGCTGCTTAAGCAAAAGCTGAAACTGTAGCTGCTGCTGAAGACTGGACTCCATGAGCAGATCTAGGATTTTGAAAAGCGCTAAAAACCATCTTCAGGGCTGTGAAACAGGAGAAGAAAGGCTATCTTAATTAATGGAACATCAAGACCATTAAGAAGGAGAGAGAATTGTTAACACCTGTTGAATGGAGAGCAATTAATAGAAATCAAGTAGATTATAATGAACCATGAAGTCAACTGACTCCTTCAGTCCTGCCTGAATAGAAAAGCCACTGCTGCTATTCTGAGCAGATCACCTTTCCCGCTTAGGACACGCACCGTAATTTTCAATGACTAGTTTTTGGGGGAAATGTGTTTGTGGTATGTGAGTAAAGATGGTATTTTGCTGCTTTACTATATCAATGTGTATGCTAGAAAGATGGAGCATTATTACAAAATTTGTAGTCCCAAAGCATAAAACAGTTTCAGCTGACTAAAGTTTACATACCTCCGTGTTTCTTGCTAGGATAAATAAATCAGTTAAAAATAAGCCAAACCATGCAGTCCTCAATCTGGCAATTATAACTGCACTAGGAGATGTGGAATTCCCATTGAAGTTTGTGGGGTTCCACTTGGCAAAAGACTCCAACTAGATGGATTTCATTTCGGGAATGAAATATTTGTAAGCAAGGTGGGGTTTTGTTTGTGCGCTTGCTTGTTTTTTACTATTGGATTAGGAGAGGGAAAACAGTTTAAAATGAGCTGGTACTTTCACTATAAAGTCTTGATTAAAGCACTGCACAATACTATCAACTCGATACCCCTAGACCTCTTTTGTATCAGGACTTTGGTAACCTCCAGAGAATGGCAGAAAATATAAAAATGTCCTGCTGCTGAGGTTAGTGACAATCTTCAGTGAATGTTAATTTTCTTAAGGAAACAAGTTGCAAGTTTAGAAAAGAGTTTATCTTTGTATGATGATACATGCTCAAATATGAAACAGTGTAATAAAGCTGTACTGTGGTGTCTGCCTGACACACTGACTCTTGGGGTACTTCTCTAAGTGTGAAGCCAAAGAGGCTTGATTCTCCATTGGTTTGCACATTGAATTGTCATTGTGTAAAGTAAGATCAGTGCACAAAGTGCAAGGCAGTGAAGAAGGGAGTATATTTGATGCTAACTGTATCTTGCAGGGGAGCCTGGGACCCTGGAGGTTTGAGACTCATGGCAGTGTTGAGTGTTTGGAGCAGTGGATGGGGATTCAGGACCTCTGGTTCTATTTTTAACTTATTCAGTGGCAATAAGTGACTCACCTAATCCCTCCTGGCCTCTTTTTTCTCACAAGTGGGTTGTGTAGCTTAACTGATGAATGTAGTTTGAGATCCTTATATGCAAAGAGCAAGCTTATGCCAGTTTCTGTGGGATCGTGCTTGAAGTGGCTGTATGTAAGAACGTGGTTGCCAATGAGAGTGTCAGATTGGATACGAGAGAACTGGTTATCTGTGTGAGTTGCCCATGCTAGTGGCTTGTGTATTAGTCACGAATAGCTCCGACACATTTAAAAATGCAGGCTTGCAGTCATAGAGATTTGGTGCTTAAAGAGGACCTGGACTTGTAGGCTCATGTTGGCAAGCATTCAGGAATCCTGATATAGCTGCACCCCTTTTTGTGAATGCAGGTTTTGAATTGAGGTGAAAAGGAGAGAATGCTTCCAAGGCACCTCTGCAAACGTGCTACCCCATGTAAGGAGATGCTGTTCCTAGTAGACTGGGAGATGTTCACTATCTAATAGCATATACTCCTGAGCTCGTTTCTCCCTCTGCAAGGCTCAAATATGCCAATGTGCCCTGCCAAACCCACTCAGCTGGACTCCTCCTTGACCAGGGAATTAAAATGTGGTGGCATCTCCAAAATACCAGCCCTTCACGGGCATCCAAATCAGATTTCACTCAGAGTAAGTTGCGTAGATCTGCGACCCTACCTCCCCTTTCTGAGGTAAGGGGTGAAACAATTCATGATGCTGACAATAAATCATCATCGTGGAGATGCATGCAGAAGTTCATACCTCTCAGAACTGTTATCCCAAACTGCTTCATTGCTGCATACAGTTCATATTTTTAAAGCTTTTTTTTTCACAACCGTAACAGCTAGAAGCTCACTTAAACAGCGAAGTTGTGCATCTGTAGAATACGTTATTTTCAGGGACACGTTGGCATGACTTATGGGCATGTTCTGGTTGTTTCCGAGCACTGTGCTGTCTAGATATGATGGTGTATACTCTGTTTTCTTTGTAGAAATGATACATCTCATTTTAGCTAATTGTAGGTGGCAGGGAAATGAAATATTGGATGATATTTTGCTGGTTTATGCATTCCTCCATCTCTTTCTCTGTCTCCCTCAAGTTTTTAAAAACGGGACATACTCCTTGATTTTGTAACCAATGTAGGCTTTGAGGCCACTTATCTGTTGTCACCCCTCCAACAACCGAGCACTACTTTGTATTGCTCCCACGCGGGGCCAGGTCTCATCTCCTCAGAATTGCATTGCAAATAAGTCTCCAATTCCCTCATTCGTGGCCCATCTCCATGGCTCATTCGAGGGAGTTATTTACAATGATAAAAATCCATCACTGCTACCTCCTGATTAACCACGTTACATCTCCAAGATTAATAGTCCAAGCCTAGAAACCACCACTGCTCCCCTTGTCCATTTTCTATGACAGATGCAGCCTTCTCCTAACTCTCTCTTCCTTATATTTCCTGATTTGGCCAGGTAGTAAACCTTACTAGGTAACCCCATCAACAACTCTGTCCCCTAGAAACATTTTTAGCATGCACTCTCTGCTCTGCAGGAGTGTTTTCTTTCAAGAGCATTGTCTTTGCTTCTTGCACAGTGCTTCCATAAGCTTCATAAAGGTGCTTTCCATTTCATCCGTGCCAACTGCCCTGCCTTGACTGTAATGTTTCTGAAAGTTTATTTCAAAACACAACTGCTGTACACTCTCAAGTGCATTCTGCTTTCCTAATCAAGTCACAAGGATTGCTTGTTTATATGAAGCTCCTTATTGCGTGTGTTGAATTAGTATCTTTACAGACTAGGATACTGTTGTGCCAGGTACTGTACATGTAGAGAATAGCAGCACCGTTTATGCCCCAGGGATAAAAGCTTTCCAAGACTGCCTCAGGGGTTTAGGTTGTAAACCTTTCCAAGACTGCCTCTGCACTCCAGTAAAAACAGGTGTATTTCTTTTTGGAACAAAATGCTCACATTTTTTTAAAGGAATGATTCATAGTTACTCTTATCTCCTTCCACAGCAAAGAGAAATGATTTATAAATATTTTCAGCTTCACTCCCCACTGGATAAATTAATGAGCTGACCTGCACTTTGCTGCTCTCCATGCTAAGCCCTGTTGGCGTTCGGAGCGTGATGAAGCACTCCGTCTCCTCAGATCGCTCAGTGGGCTTATCAAACTGAAAACCTCAGGAAGGCTTGAACTTTGGTGTCTCCTTTTCCTCTGGTTCAAAACTTAGGAGCAGCTTAATGCTGTGCCGTGGGATAGTGCCAAAGGATCCAAGAATGAGTTGCTTCCTTGCTTCTGGTGCAGAACAGCGACTTCTAGGAGACTAAGGAAAGCGATGAAGGCGATTCCCAATTCCCTGCAGAACTCCTGCCTGCCGTCTTTGCTGGCTCTACTCCACCCTCAACCTTCTTACTACACGGTTAGCAAAAGTTAAAATGTCTTACTTCATGGTTAAAAAAAAAAAAAAAAGTATAACGAGCCTAAAATACAGAAGTGACACTACACGATTTGGACTCTTTGCTCTGGGATCGTACAGCACCAAACGCGCCGAGGTCCCGGTTCAGGATTAGGGGCTCCTAAGCACCACCTCAACACGGCGGTTCACAAGTCGGCCGGGACTGGATTTTCCAAAGCCTCTCGCCTCGCATGGAAATCAGGAGGCGTTTCGGCATGAGGTTGGGCCGCGACTTCGCCGCCGCAACAGAGGCGGACGGAGACGGACCGCCGCGCCCCTCGAACTCTCTGTGCGAGGCGTCCTTTCTGAACCCGGCCCTCGCCAGTGTACAGCTTCACGGCCTGGCACCCCCTTTGCCACCTCTTCTCCGCCCGGCTTGGGGAGGGCGCAGGTTTCCCCTCCTCTCTGCCCCTGCAGCTCTCTCCAGGGGACTGTTCAGCCCCTCACCCTCTCCCC